AGAAAGAGAGAGAGTGACACGGTGGTGGTGGTGGTGGTGGGAGGAAGAGGATGACCAAAAATTTCAAGTGGGATTTCAGCCTTTAGTCTGCTTTGTAATGCCCTGCCATGTACACAAAGGGTTGGTGCAAACAGAGATGGAGATGTTATGTGTGTCACAGAGGAATGACAAGATTATATAAGATTATTATTTAAACATATTAGCCGTACGTCCTTTGGGGAGGATTATTTCTTGCTCACAAAGGTGGATATTCAAACCAAATATACAATATGTGATGTACCGTATAGCTGTCAGGGTAAAAATGGTGAGGTGGATTCTCTTTTATGGGAGAGATCCTTCTTATGACCTTTACTGCTCTGTAAATTATCACAATAGAGTCTCTATTCAGGATATGTGCGGTGATATTGTGCCATAAGTCTTCAAATGCAGGGATTGTAAATGGAGAAAAATGTCCCCATATCTGCACATAACTTAACACTCTGTCTTCACTGGTACTTTGAAAATCAGTCAGGAAGATGCAAAGTTTTACAGCATCAACATGAAGTGCTCCACACAGAAGCTGCCAAGTAATTAGTGACTGATGAAATATCAGCCAGACGCCAGGAAAAAAGTTGGCATTGCACGTTTCTGCAAACCACAAATACATCACATTTGTACACTTCATGTCAAGGTTTCTAAAGCGATGTAATGTATTAGCTGCCTTTGTCATCTGGAGCAGTGGTTCCCAACTGGTGGGTCACGGTCCAAAGGTGGGTCGTGGGTTTGTAAAAAACATACATTACTTTGAAGTTCAATGAATATCAGGCACAGAGTTTTTATTATGATGTGCCGGTTCCTGCTGTAGAATGAGTTAATAACAGGAAGCTATTTAACAGAGACAGCAAACTAGCTCAACGTCATGGCCAAACCCAAGTATGATGCTGAATGTATTAAACTGTGTGGACCTTGAGCTAATGACTAAGGAGAAATCTGGACCCCTGTGGCTGGACCAGTTGGGAACCACTGATCTGGAGGTTGGGGGGATTGTGGACGGCGCAACACTTAGGTAGGATGCCTACCAGACCACTGCAGACTACAGTTCAAGACCAACAAATAAGAACACCAGTTGTGATTAAGCACGCCATTGCTGTGTTTCCAGCTGCTTTTCACTCTCCAAATGTGGGTGTTTTATAACGACCCATCACCGTTTTTCCAGCAGCTTTTAGGCACGAAAAGAGATTGGTTTTTACTGAGACATGGCTGTTTTATCTGCTGGGATCGTGGCATGAAAAGCATTTGTCTTTCACCAAGACATCGCTGCTTTTACTGCCGGGATTGTGCGATTAATACTGGGCATTTTAAGTCAAAACATCATCTTTTTCTAACCATAACCAAGTGGTTTTGTGCCTAAACCTAACCAAAGCTTAACCACAGCATTGCTGAAATGTTAAGTTTCAATGTATCCGCTATATCATTGGTTCCCAATACGTCCAGCCATGGGGTCCAGATTTCTTCTAAGTCATTAGTTCAAGGTCCACACAGTTTCATACATTCAGCGTCATACTTGCGTTTGGCCATGTTGTCGAGCTAGTTTGCTGTCAAGTTAGCCTGGAAATCCAGACTCAAATCTAGAAAGATTTTGAGCCTGGCCCTCACAATACACCCTTCCTACCCAAGGGGCGGCACTAACTGAAGCATATTAAACACTGCCTCATGCAACTGGATAGCACGATGGCCAATCAGAGCAAAAAACAAGGTGACGTATTCATTGCACTAAGCCCCATTTGTTTGCCGACCAGTGGGGCTAACTGATATATTATCCTTCCTGGAAGCGAAGGTTTCAAGGGCAGTCTTCTGTTCCTCTCTCAAGGAAAAAAATAAGTGTAGTTGGCTTTGTGTTTCTTCCAAAGCTAAATTGAATGGACGCGGTCCTTTGGCAGCTGCCATTTTGGCTGTTTACTTTTCGACTCCTACGGCACAGCACTGTCGTCATCATGTTACGCCCGCCCAGAGCCCTCCCCTGTCAGATAGACTGATCTGATTGGTCCGATGGCGATTCAGCAGGCTCTGCCTCGTGCAGTGCAATTTCGAATTTGCTAGGGGCGGGGCATCTGGATTTCCAGGTTACTGTCAAGTAGCTGTCTGATAGAAACGGCACTTCAAAATAAAAGCTCTGTGCTGGAAATTCACTGTACTTACAAGTAAAGTGTGCTTTTTACAAATCTGACACATCTGTAAGTCACTTGCAGTCCATTCACAATGGACCCTTGACCCACTTTTGGACCACGAACCACCTGTTAGAAACCACTGCACTACATAATAATGCGCAAATGTAGCGTATCTGTGGTTTGCAGACAATGCCAACATTTTGTTTCTCACGACTGGGTGGGAAATAATTTTTTTTATTATTTTTATCCCATGAGGATTGTTACATTTGTTCAGACCTGCTCATCTGATCACTTTAATTCAGTTTACTCAGTCATTCGAACTAAACTGATCACAACTTCATTTTCAAACTGCCTTTAGTTTTGCTTTCAGTCGAAGGCAAACTTCATTCATATGTATTATTTTGCCCTCAGCGATCGCACTCATTGCCTTCAGAAAATTGACTTTTTCTAGGTTTAAATTGACACACACTCATCTTATTATTGGATTTAATTTGTGGTTTGGCATTTAATGATGCCAATAAGACATGTCAAACTGAGTTACCAGTCATAACTTCAATATGATGTCAGATTGCCAGAAAATGGGATGTCTCGCCGAGTTAGGCACTGCATCCCACAACACATCATTTGTGATGATAATGCAAAAAGTGACAGTGTATTACACGCTGTTATCTTTAATATGCCTTTGAAAGCTCCTCTCACTTCTAAGAGACCGCGAGTTTATCTTGTGGAGAATTCCAATTTGGCTGTGAACAGACCACTGGCCCTGCTTCAATGAGCTATTACAAATCGATCATGGGATGACTCGGAATAGGACTCGAGGGAGAATTGTATCGAAGTGTGCAACCTTAAACAAGCAAGCACACTGAATTTACGCGCACAGAAACGCAGACACATAAAATGCATCCTGCAGCCGTACAACATGTGACCTAACCTTTACCCTTATGGCGCACGTTTGCCTTGGTGACAGATTGCACAGAGGTTACACATCGACCGAAAGGTAATGGAGTTGCCGCCTGTGAACACCATGTGCATATCTGCCATGTAACCTTGCTAGTTCCTTCCTGTTTTAACTCAGGAGTTTGCTTGGCTGTCTGTTTCATCTTACCTGTCACAGATAAGAGCAAATTGCTCTGTGGGAAATGTAGCATGTAATTCCATTATTGAATTACCTGCAGTGAGACTCCTTGATCCACCTTGACAACAGCCAGGAAAACAAGTATTCAATATTTTTCTCCTGTAAGTGTTTAACACAACATGCAATCACACAAAGAGGCTTTGCCCTTTAAAGTGAACAAGAAAAGGGGCGTCACAGAGGAGCAGCACACTGCTTATAGTTGCACCATTGTAATGCACACCAGGGAGGCTGGAAGTGGAGCAGGTGAAAGAATGAGAATGAGACTGGAGGATGCATGGAGGGACAGAGGCACGGATGGACAGATGGATGGATTTTTAGATCTAATTTGCCCCCTCCCTGACTCTGCCTCCACAAATTCAGAGTCTGGGAGTTACTGTAGCCTGTGGCATGGCTGCAAAGGAGCCAGATACTCGAGGACTGACAGTCTGCGTGAGTAGGATGAGGGTGAACAGAAGGATGCATTACTGATAATGGTAACTTTTACAGTCTGACTTGTCTGGAGTTGTTGAAATAAAAGTTGCTGAATGGTGCAATTATGTAGATTTTTCCTGGATTGCACTTTGCTTGTTGGTAAACTCTCTTTGATGTTTTGTTCTGTGCAGAACTTTTACTGCAGTGCCTGAGTTATTTGTTTCTGTCCCCAGTATGTGGGAGGATGCTTTATAGTTTTATGTTTCCTGCAGACTGCTGTGTTGGCAATAACTGTCAAAAATCTAATATGAAATTCATATTTGTTTATAGTTTACATAATATCTCATTTTAATTCAAAGTGTCTGCTATTTTAGGGAGAGAAAGAATCATGTGGCAATGCATCCTAAAATCATTAGTGTGTGATTTTAGTTTTCAGCTAGAATATAGTTGTGCGTTGCAGCTTTAAAAATGTAGGATATCTGAAACCCTCTGCAAAGATGCTCAGATGATTTATTATGGAAAGGCAATTACCTGTTTCCTAATTAACACATTTATTAAATATGACAGAGGAAAGCAATCTGATAAACTGGATCAAGGCCAGTTTATTTATCTCTTCAAATACATGTTAAGTTTCTTTAAAAAAAAAAAAAAAACTCCTTTCATTCTGGTTCCAGAGCATTTCCAGTTTAATAGCCCACTTTCTCACATTGCAATTCACACACTCAGGAGACCTTCCCATCGCCGAGGCGCCCACGCCTGCCCCCTCTGCCACACCCGCGACAACACACTCCGTCTTCAATTAGCTCATTATCTTTGAGCATCAGCTGTTAGCCTATAGCTCCACATAGAGAAAACACAATCCTCACACACACACCGGCATGTCCGAGAATAGCTCAGAACAATTGTATGTGGGCTGAATGTCTCCAGAAACAGGTCTGATCAGGCGCAATGTGATCCAGTAAGACGATAAGAAAGGTGCACCTGCTGACTCTTTCTGCCTACTGGGCCTCGATTTGCACGGAATAAAGGATGCCCTGATTCTATGCAGCTTATTAAAACCAGCCTGCCGACCATATTGGTCGGATTAAAGCTCTGTGGCAACACCCTCCCCATCCGTCCATGACACTTGAAGCACAAAGCGGTGTCTTTGCAGCGCATGCAGCGCACGGTTTTTGTGTCAAAGCATGTCACCGGTGCGAAGATGCTCTCCGCTCCATGCCTACAATGTCATTTCCGAACAACCGGCATATGCAGCATGCACCTGTTCCGCTGTCACCGTATCAGACAAACAAAACACAACAGCATACCTGTCCTGTCAGGTCCGTGGTGTCAAGCTTCAGTCCGGATTGTGATCATTGAGATCGCAGGAAATTTGGAAGACGGACGCCGCCACCGCCCCGGAGCGCCTTGCCTCTGGCACGGGAGGTGTAGCCCTGCAGGCTGGGACGGCAGACAGGCACAAGCCGGCAGGGATGCTCACGGTCGGGGAAGGGCTAGGAGGAGAGTAGAGGGGCGTTTTCACCGTGTAAGCGAGGGAACTCCTAACGTCGTGCGTGATATGTGAGGACCGCTCCGCTTATGGCACGCAGCGCCTCTTACCTCTTGCTTTACTGATTTTCGGGTCATCTTTTCACACCGTAAAGCGCAGTGTTTAGAGGGTTAAAAAAGATGCTCTAACGCACATGGAGTCTTATAGCCTTGTTTCACTGCCAGCTAAACACATTTAAACCCACTTATAATCAGGCCTATTGTCATTTCTTTAAGACACAACTTGAATAGATTTAATAAACATCGTCTCTTGGATGAGTTTTCTGCGCTGGTAAGAAGGATTCCTGATTGACAATTGCATGTCTAATCGTATATTCAAATTCAAGTACCCACCTCCTTAAAATGAAGAGGGGAGGACACCTGCTGAGCTGCTGCTCCAGAGCTTTTAGCACTGCTGCAGCCTGTCTGTGCCAGAGCGCCCTCAAATGCCATTTACGCATCTGTCAGTTACTGAAACGCCAAATGCATCATTAATTGCAAATCTATGCTCGTGGCTTTGCATGAAACTAATGGAAAGTGTTACTGATAATTGTTGGCAAGAGGATGGATTCAGGGCCAATGAGGCAATGTCAAATTAAACTTTTGTCTTGTTTTGATCATAACTGAGAAAAAAAGATTGTAATATATGAGAGTTCTGGTATGTAATGATAAATGTACACTTTCTGGGCTGCTGGAAAAGAGCTTCCAATATGTTATCACACATCTAACAGGATTTGACCCCTGACACATTTTACATTCAGAGACATATCTTTAACTCAAGCATTAAGAGGAAAAAGAAATGGTCATACTGTTCCCTGCATAGCAAGGAGCTCGCTGAATCGATGAAGGCTAAGTGGGTGATGTATTGCATTGGTGACTCATAGGAACCTTCTGTGCTGAACGCCCTCTTTGGCTTTCACGCACAAGTGTTCTGTTCAAATGCAGATATGCATACAGAAAAAAATCAATTCCCGTCACGCTTCAGAGGGTCTCCTTCAGTTGCTTACAGGATATGCAAAAAAAAAAAGAGCAGCCGAGTGACTTCATTGCCATATGGGGAAGATTTCTGGAGCGTAAACGCATACTATATATAGGATGTGTCTTAATTTATTATCCCTGTAATGATGCTGAGTAAATTGAATATATGACACCCTTATTAAAATCATTCAGGATGTCAATGTAACATGTACTTGTGAAAACAAGAAGCCAAAATCACTCCAAATAGTTGTGAGGAGGTTTCTCCACATGGTGGCGACCATCTACCACCATCACAACTATGAGAACAGTGTAACGTACTGTACAGCCTGCACATGCTTCACCCCAACATGATGAAGACACCAGTTTTCACTCAGCAATTCATTTGCTTTGCAGTTGCATACTTAAGTATATAATTACACATGTCTGCTGGTAGTTTCAACACTTACGCCATCATCAGATTCCAATACATGGCTTATGTGGCTCCAAGATGTCGCACATGTATTATCACATTTGCGGTTATTACCTCTGCACACTGAGACTGAGCAGGGTCATAAATCTCTTTACCGCCTCACTATATACCTTACAATGCTGTCATATTTGTATTTCCTTGAGGCAAACACAAAGATGAAATATTTCTCTGAGGAGTTTAAGGTTGGGACCAAATGTGAGATCATGTCATCACCATGTCCTGTACGTCTTTGATTTATATTTACATCTTTTTTTTTTTTTTAAGAGAATTCAACACCTCGCCTTTGTTGCCGCAAGTCAAAGAACTTTATGGTTCATATGTTTGGTTTTTTCAAAATACAGCTTTTCACTGACATTTCATCTCAAGACAACGACGTATCTGACTGTTCAAAAAATCTTAGTTGTAAAACATCATACGGAAATTCGATGGAATATTTTATACAATGTAGATAAATGTTTGAATCATTTAAAGTTCATTCAACTCAAATTTTCTTAAGACCCTTGTTTTTATAGTTTGAAAACAATAAACATACACAGCATACATAAAACTTACTGTGTGACCTCAATCCATGTTAAAGGGTGAGTTTGGCATTTTTCATCCTGTATCTTATTTTCCCTTTTTTTCCCCCATTGGTCTGAGTGACTAATGAGAACAACAGTTTTTGAAACTACTTAAGATAATAAATCTTTACTTCAGATTTTTATACCTTAAGTACTAGTGTTAAACACGGCAGCATAATGCACATTTTATTTTTTATTTTAATGCACATTTCATTTTATTTTTTGTTCTTTTTTCATACTCTTATTCTTACTTCTTATAATTCTCTATTCTTTACATTGGAGCAATTGTAATGAATCATAATTTCCCCCCAGGAGATCAATAAGTTATTTCTGATTCTGATTTCTGATTTTCTGAAAGCGGTCCAGTACTGAGCAAGATCTCTGCAGACCATAGCTGTCAAACAGGCTGAAATGTAAACACTCAGGGCATGTTCACACTTTCAATTTACATCAACTGAAAGTTCTTGTTTTGCCACTGACAGGCTCAGATTATTACTATGAGTGTCTGACAACATTTTGAAAAGGATCCCTACAGAGATAGACCTTTCTGTTTGAGAGTAAAATCCTTTTTGTTTAATCTGGAACAGCCCCGAAATCATTAACGCCAAACCCACCAGACTCCGTTTAAATAAACAGTCTGTTTATTTAAACGGAGTCTGGTGGGTTCAATCCCAGGAGGGAGCCCTTCTGTGCAGAGTTTGCATGTTCTCCTCGTGTCAGCGTGGGTTTTCTCCGCGTACTCCGGCTTCCTTCCACAGTCCAATGACATGCAGGTTGGGGATAGGTGAATTGGTGACCCTAAATTGCCTGTAGGTGTGAATGTGAGTGTGAATGGTTGTTTGTCTCTATGTGTCAGCCCTGAGAGGCTCCAGGCTCCAGCTCCCCCGCAACTCTCAAGAGGATAAGCGGTTACAAAAATGGATGGATGATTGTTTCATTCAAAGTCAACAGAAACAAAATAAAACTGACAAAAAACACCTTGGTTCAGCTTTGCACTGTTCCCACAATCACTAACTCCAGTGTGGTAGATATGAAAATGTGCTGGCTCTGTATGCAAAAAAATATTTCAAATAGAGTCTGGTGAGTTTGTCTCTCTGTGGGGATCCTTACCATAATATTGTCATACACTTAGAATAACAATCTGAGCCTGTCAGTGGCAAAAACAAACATTTTAAGTAGATGTAAAGTGATGGTGCCAACACACACTGAAGCCTGTTTTACTGGTGCGATCTGCAGCAGTCTCATTCAATACTGGACCAGTAACAAAACTTATTTGTCCTACTTGCCATTTAAATACAAAAACATGAAAATTGGGTTCAGGTTGAAAAGTACTGAACTTACCCTTTAAATTAAATCAGTATTATTTCTCCTGGTACAAATGAAAACAGTACATAAAATTCAGCTCCTACCAAAGTACACAAATTAGTATTATATGTCACTGGAAACAGCCCGATGAGTTGTCTTTGTATTAATTCTGGTAGTAATTCTGTAAGATCTTTGTGTCCAATGAAAAACAGACCTCAAACTGAGAAACTGTGAATGGAAAACAAATCTGTTTGAAATGTGAGTCAGTTTGACTCAACAATTTATTGAACTTGGCTTATCGCAGTTGTTCTTCACAACTCATGAGCCGATGCTGAAGTAATTACTCAACTTCAGTTGAGTTAACTCACATTTGAAGGCAGTTGTGGAATTTCTGTTTTTAATTTTAACCACCTCAAAATGTTTTAGAGAGTGAAAATGCTGGAATACATATTGTAAAAGGGTTTATGTTTTAGAATCTTAGGGAAAAGTGTTGCCCTTATTATTCATGTTCTTCAGTCCTTTCCAAGTGAAGTGTCTTTGTTATACAATTGTAAGTCAAAAACCACGTCTCCATGTGCTGAATATAGGCCAATTACAACAGAACAATGGCTCAAATAATACCAAATGCACAACTGTGCTTTGAATGTTGCAAGACAGTGGTGAATCAAAGCATCTCTGTGGTCTAGCAGTTCATCAAGCGCACCAAAAGTGAACTTCGTAAATGTTTAGTGATGGGAAACAAAAGTGCTACAGTATTTTGTTTGTCAACTCCTCATTTGCGAGATAAAGGGCACATTTAGTTCGCTGAAAGTTGCTCAGATCTTTGACTTTGCTTTTATCCGCCCTTTTGTACCCTGTAAAGTACAGCACAATAACAGACTGCAAAACAAAACCCAACACAGAAGACCTGGACCACATGCATTTCTTTATAATGGACAGCTTGAGGACACTCCACTTAACGTATTACCTGAAGGGTCAAGGATTAAAAAACATGTTAAAGTTATGAAGTTGGTGCCAAAGGACAGTGACAGTGGTTACCTGACAGGGTAAAACAAATGAAGCTCTAGTGAAAGTTCAGTCAGGAAGACTATATTTTGCATGCTAGGTATTTAAAATATTTCTCATAACATATACCATTCACTCCTTGCACATGCAAGGTACCCTGGGTGTGTTGGTTGTGGGCGTTCTGGGACATTGTGTCATATTCTGCCTGTTACATGCACTGTCTTCTTTCAAAATACACTTAGTTTTCACAGGAAATTCAACATTTACATACAAATTGACATATTTTTTTCCGTCAACAAGAAACGTAACAACGATTTGGCTTTGGGATCTTATGGGACGTGAACACCGCTCTCTCGGGTGAAAGCTGGTGTTTGTTGGACCCATCCACCACCAATCCCACCTGCCCCAGTCGGACTTTCGCTGTCTTAACTTTCATTCTTGTCCTGCTACGTTTCCCCTTGACACTTCCGGGTGCTGTTTAACTATAACCAGCCGCATATCATGCTGACGTTAAAGGACGCCTTTTTTTGTTGGTTTCTGACGCCGCAAGTAACCGCCCAAGCGCCGGATTTTCACGATTTCGGACTGAGACGAGGTGCTATCATCTCACTGCTTCTTGTTTTAAATACGGTTCCCTTTCTGCTCGTAGTTCTCTCATGCTGCAGTTGTGCGAATCCTCCACCTTCCCATCACCGCTGAGTCTTCATAGATTCATCAGCCTCATCGGCCTTCACTCTCAGAGTTATCAGCCACCAGGACCACCAGTATCTGGACTCCATGGGGGATTTATCTTGCTGCTGCTCAGATGCGGCGCAAACAAATCTCCCTCAGGTGTCCAAGCTCCAAACACTTTCTGTCAAAATATATTCATCACATCATCTGTTACTCTGTACACTTCCAATCTGTACTGAACAATCATCTTTATTTCATTCACCTGGTCTCACTTGTTGAAATGTATTACTCTGAGTAATCATTTAACCTTTTCAGAATTTATGCTCCAAACACACTCAAAATATGCACATTATAATGATGGATTTCTACCCTAAATGTACTCATAAATCATTGCTTGAGTATGCGTCATCAGCTTGTTGGTCTAATGGGACCATGAGTGAAGTA